ACCCCCAAAGGCACGGGCAGGGACACCTTCCACTAGAGCAGCTTGCTCCACGGCCCTGTGTCTCTGTGCACTCCCAGGGCATCCTGGGGATACCCCTAGAGAATCCCAGAGAATGCCTGCAGCACCTCCAGAGCTCCCCATGGACCCAGTCAGAGCTCCTGCATCACAATGACCTTGGGGACATGGAGACCACAGGGGTGGCTGATTCTGGAACTCCCCGTGTTCAGGTGTGTGAGGTCACAGAACCCCACGGAACCCTCCAGCAGAGGCACCGGGAGACGACAGCTGCCCCACGGAACACAAGCTACCGGTGGAGGAGGCAAGAGCAGCTCCTCTGGTGGTTCCCGTCTTGGTGTCTCGGAGCCGGTGCCGCCTGTGGACGCAGGAGCGTGGAAGGAGGTGGGTGGCGATGGCGATCTTGGGGTGCTGTAGGAGTTGCCAGAACACCTCAAGAGACTTCCCCAGAGTGGCTGCTTTGGACTCGGTGTGTGAGTTGGGCTGGCTGAGCCGGCAGCGGAGCGCTGCGGCTGCCGAGGGATGATCCTGGGATCTGCCCTCATTTCTTGTGGGGAGAGCAAGGGCCTGTGGGGATGGGCCAAGGGGGAACGATTTTAACGTGACAGAGAGGGGAGATTGAGATGAGATCTTAGAAGTTGTTCCCTGTGAGGTGGTGGGACAGTGGCACAGGGTGCCCAGAGAAGCTGTGGCTGCCCCATGGCTGGCAGTGTTCAAGACAGAGCTGAAAATGCCCTGACTCTTTCCTTGGTACATGATTGAGTTGCAGGTTTTATTCCATTTTTGGCTAAATCTGAACTATTTATGGAAGCCTATTTTAAGCTTTTCCTAGCTATTTCTTAACTGGTTCAGGCTGTTTTGAACCCTTTTTTCCCCAATTCTAAAACTTTTTGAACCATTTTGACCTTTTCCAAACGTTTTTTGTCCATTTCTTACTAATTTCTTGCCATTTCTAACCCATTTTTGCTCTTTCCTGACGCGGTTTGAGCCATTTTTGGCCATTCCTAACCCAGTGTTGCCAATTTCTAACCCATTTTAAGTCTGGCTATTTCTAAAAGAATTATGGCCATTTGTATCCTAATTTTGGCCATTTCTTACCAGTTTTAAGCTTTTTTTTGGCTATTCCATGTCCATTCTTGCCTGCTTGTCCCCTGTTTGAAGCATTTTTTACCACTTCTAAACAATTGATGACCATGTCTATCTTATTTTGCCCATGTCTTACCAGTTTTAAGCCGTTTTTGGCAATTCCTAAAGAATTCATGGCCATTTCTAGCCTGGTTTCAGCTTTTCTTAGCTATTTCTTAACTGGCTTGAGCTATTTCTTGGCCCAATTCTAACTCTTTTTAAGCCATTATGGCCATTTCCAAACTGTTCTTGTCCTGTACTTACCAATTTCTTTCTACCCCTTTTTTTGGCCTTCCCTAACTTAGTTTAACCCATTTTTGGACCTTTCTGACCCGCTTTAACTTTTTTTTGGCTATTTCTAAACAATGGGTGGTCATTCTCACCTTATTTTTGCCCATTTCTTACCTGGTTTATGCCATTTTTGGCTAATGTTTCACTTTTTTATGGGCATTTCTAGCCTGGTTTAAGCTTTTCTCACCTATTTCTAAACTGGCTTGAGCTATTTCTAACCCTTTTTTGCACAATACTGACTCTTTAAGGTCATTTTGGCCATTCCCAAACCATTTCTGTGCAGTTCTTAGCAATTTTTTTTCTGTTCCTAAGCTGGTTTTGCCCTTTCCTGACTTGGTTTAAACCATTTTTGGCTTTTTCTAACACATTTTAGGTCTTTTTTGGCTATTTCTAAACAATTGCTGGTCATTCTTACCTTATTTTTGCCCATTTTTTGTAGGTTTTATTCCTTTTTTGGCTAAATCTGAACTATTTATGGAAGTTTCTAGCCTGGTTTAAGTCTTTTTTGGCTACTTCTAAACAATTGCTGGTCATTCTTACCTTATTTTTGCCCATTTTTTGTAGGTTTTATTCCTTTTTTGGCTAAATGTCAACTATTTATGGAAGTTTCTAGTTTGGTTTAAGCTTTTCTTACCTATTTCTAAACTGGCTTGAGCTATTTCTAACTCTTTTTTTGTGCAGTACTGCCTCTTTTTAAGCCATTTTGGCCATTTTCAAAGGATTTTTCTCCATTTCTTACAAATTTCTTTCTATTTCTAACCTGTTTTGGCCCTTTCCTGACTTGGTTTAACCCATTTTTGCTTCTTTATAACCCATTTAAAATCTTTTTTTGGTTATTTCTAAGCAATTGCTGGTCATTCTTGTCTTATTTTTGCCCATTTCTTGCAGGTTTTATTCCATTTTTGGCAATTTCTGAACAATTTATGGAAGTTTCTAGCCTGGTTTAAGCTTTTCTTACCTATTTCTAAGCTGGCTTGAGCTATATCTAACCCTTTTTTTGCACAATACTGACTCTTTTTAATCCCTTTTGGCCATTCCCGAACCCTTTCTGTCCAGGTCTTACCAATGTCTTTCTATTTCTAACCTGGTTTTGCCCTTTCCTCCCTTGATTTAAACCATTTTTGGCCCTTTCTAACCCATTTTAAGTCTTTTTTGGCTATTTCTAAACAATTGCTGGTCATTCTTATCTTATTTTTGCCCATTTCTTACCAGTTTTAAGCCATTTTATGGCAATTTCTGAACTATTTATGGAAGTTTCTAGCCTGGTTTAAGCATTTCTTAGCTATTTCTAAACTGGCTTGAGCTATTTCTAACCCTTTTTTGCCCAGTTCTAACACTTTTTAAGTCATTTTGGCCATTCCCAAACCCTTTCTGTCCAGTTCTTACCAATTTTTTTTCTGTTCCTAACACAGCTTTTGCCCTTTCCTGACCAGGTTTAAACCATTTTTGGCCCTTTCTAAACCATTTTAAGGCTTTTTTGTCTATTTCTAAGCAATTGCTGGTCATTCTTATCTGATTTTTGCCCATTTCTTGCCTGTTTTAAGCCATTTTATGGCAATTTCTGAACTATTCTGAACTATGCTGAACTGAATGTTCTAAACTGACTTGAGCTATATCAAACACTTTTTTTGCGCAATACTGACTCTTTTTAAGTAATTTTGGCCATTTTCAATCCATTTTTCAACATTTCTTACCAATTTATTTCTATTTCTAACCCGTTTTGGCCCTTTCCTGACTTGGTTTAAAACATTTTTGGTTCCTTATAACCCATTTCAAATCTTTTTTTGGCTATTTCTAAGCAATTGCTGGTCATTCTTATTTTTGTCCATTTCTTGCAGGTTTTATTCCATTTTTGGCAAAATCTGAACTATTTATGGAAGTTTCTAGCCTGGTTTAAGCTTTTCTTAGCTATTTCTAAACTGGCTTGAGCTATTTCTAACCCCCTTTTTGCACAATACTGCCTCTTTTTAAGCCATTTTGGCCATTCCCAAACCCTTTCTGTCCAGTTCTTACCAATTTCTTTCTATTTCTAACCTGTTTTTGCCCTTTCCTGACTTGATTTAAACCATTTTTGGCCCTTTCTAACTCCTTTTAATTCTTTTTTGGCTATTTCTAAACAATTGCTGGACATTCTTATCTATTTTTCCTATTTCTTAGTAATTTTATGCATTGTTGACTGAGTCTGAACTGTTTCTTGCCATTTCCAGCCTGTTTTAACCTTTTCCTAGCTATTTCGAAACTGGCTTGAGCTATTTCTAACCCTTGTTTGCCCGATTCTAACTCTTCTTAAGTCATTTTGGCCATTTCCAAGCCATTTTTTTCCTGTTCTTACCAATTTCTTTCTGTTTCTATACCATTTTTGCCTATTTCTAACCAGGTTTAAACCATTTTTGGCTCTTTCTGACTCTTTTAAGTTTTTTTTTGGCTATTTCTAAACAATTGCTGGTCATTCTTGTCTTATTTTTGCCCATTTTTTCTTGCAGGTTTTATTCCATTTTTGGCTAAATGTCAAGTATTTATGGAAGTTTCTAGTCTGGTTTAAGCTTTTCTTACCTATTTCTAAACTGGCTTGAGCTATTTCTAACCCTTTTTTGCACAGTACTGCCTCTTTTTAAGCCATTTTGGCCATTTTCAAAGGATTTTTCTCCATTTCTTACAAATTTCTTTCTATTTCTAACCCATTTTGGCCCTTTCCTGACTTGGTTTAACCCATTTTTGCTTCTTTATAACCCATTTAAAATCTTTTTTTGGCTGTTTCTAAGCAATTGCTGGTCATTCTTATCTTATTTTTGCTCATTTCTTGCAGGTTTTATTCCATTTTTGGAATTAAATTATTTAATTATTTAGACTTTCATGCTTCTTTGTGCAGATGTGAAAGAATAAATACCCATAAAGTCTCAGAAGTGACACTTATCCTGGGCTGAGTCGTGGTAGCGATGTGGTTTTCTCCCCTGACCTGTCCCAGATAACTGGAACTATAGATGTTTGTCACTCCAGGCAATGTATTGTCCCCTCTGGTTTGTGCTCTGTGGAGAGATGAGGTTATTGTGCAGCCATGAAACTCTTGGGCTTCAACCTTTGGGGTCCCACTCAACCTCACATGAGATTCAAACAGCTTGTTTCTTAACATGCCCTGGAGAATGTTACTAAATCACAGAATCACACAGTGCTTTGGGTTAGAAGGGACTTTAAAGCTCACCTAGTTCCACCCCACCTACCTTCCACTAGCCCAGGCTGCTTGAAGCCGGTTGCTGTGTTAGTAGAACAAGTCCACCTGGTTCCTGGTGTGGTGTTTTATTTATTTATTTAAGTATATTTTCTGTCTTAAATCTAAAACTGAAAGGTCAGAGTCCGATGGGAAGAGGGGTAAAAAGCAGAATTACAGGAATGCAAGAATTAACGTGTGGACACTTGTGTCAGTTTTAAGCTCAGCAGGTCTGTGGCTGAACTGTGCCACAGCGTTTAAACTGTGATGCTTGGATCTAAATGGTTGTAATTCCTTGTCTTGAAACTGAGAGAATGTGAGGTCGAGGAAGGAGGTGTTGGAATGAGCTTGACTCAAGAGAACGCTGGGAGGAAGGAGGAGGGTGGGAAGTGAGAGATGATAACCCCAGCTCTGAGAGAAGCGCTCACAAATCAAGGTGAGGTTCTGCAAAGAGCAGATGGTGGCCCAGGCTTTGAAGTCTTAGTGGTGGCCTTTTAGCAAGCCAAGTGAGAGACGGTGTTCTTTGTTAGAGGTTCTGCTGTGGACCCTCAGTCGTGGCAGGCTCTGAGCAGGGGCAGGAGAGGGCTTAGGCAGGGGCCGTTGGTACCTGCTCATTTCAGGGAGGAACCTGCAGCTGGGTAATACACCCGAGTGTGATGCACTCTGAGTGTGGTGAGTGTATCAGAGTTCAAAGGGTTTCATGTAGCTGCTAAGCAGCTTGGGAGAGAAGATGATAGTCCCACATGCCTTTAGCTCCTTTAGGGTGTGTGTTCCTCTAAGACTACTTAAAGATCAGCTTTGCCTCTGCTTTTACTTCTGTTTCAAACTCTGATTTTGTTACTGAAACTTTATTTGCAGAGAAGAAGGTAGTTCAAATGAACTTTACCAATCCACTGCTGATGAGATGAGGGCCTTCCAACAAGCTGTAGAGAACTTAATGGCCTTTTCAAACCAAAGGAGGACAAGTTTGAGAAGAGCTGGCCTGAGGGCCCTGCAGTTCAGAAGCCTCAGTTCTGAGTGGCAGAGCCAGGAGAAGGGTGATGGGAGCTTCTGTTCAGTTGGAGACTGAAGGCAGTTTAGCTTAATTTCTTTTATTTCTTAGGATGAGAATGTGTTGAATTTGTCTTGCTTGCTAAATCAATAGAATCTCTCCTGATGCTGCTGAGACCACAGTTCTGCTATTGCACTGGAGGCACCTTGCTTCAGAGCTGGGCTCTGATTTTCTAACTATGTCCTGTGTGAGTCCAGCAGCTGTGGGATCCCAACACCTTTGCTCCCCAGGATTGGTCTGAGCTTTTGTCAGTGACTGGTGATGTGTTTGCCCACGGTCATTGTTTTTTTTTGCACTGGCATTAGTACAGCTATGAAATAAAGAGCCATTCATTACATTCATAGTGTGAAGGAGCAAAGTGAAGGCTTGGCAAGGAGTGGCAGTGACTTTCGTCTCCTCTTTGTGTCCATCATGGTGCTGCTGGGACCAGTGGAGAGGTTATAGGGGACTGGTTCAAAACATCTTTTCAGTTTCAACTCTGAAGGCTGCAATGTGGCAGGGAGCCTGCAGTGTGCTGCAGAGCAGCCGCAGCACTGTGACAACCTTAGATTTCTTGTTTATTCATTTATTTAGTTACTAGTGTCTGTGTTTGATCCAGAAGTCTCATTGTTCTGCCTGCCTGCAGGCGGTTGAGGGGGGGGACTGGTGGTTCTGGCAGGCGTGGAGTGGGCTGCTGGAGACAGGGCTGTCTAGAAGTGGGCAGTGGGGAGGGAAGCGTTCTTGTCTGCAGCAAGTCCCCTGCTTCTTAGGTTGGAGGGGCTGCTGCCCCTATGGAAGGGTGCACCAAGTCCCCCCAGGCAGCTCAGGTGTTGCTTTGCCACAGAGGGGCCTGAGATGGGCTGGTGAGACTGCCCTGGCTGTTCTGTGGTGCAGGGACTGTGCTGGCTCTGCGTTGTGCCGTGGCAGTCACAGGGGTGTTTCACACTGGTTCACTTTCTGACCGCATCTGTATTGGTTTGGTTTTGGGCAGTGAATGAAACTGTGCTTTTCTTATGGTCTGTAGAAGTGGCCACTTGGAGAAGGAAAGCAGCTCTGGAGGGAAGGTCACCTTCCTGCTGTAATTTTTTTGGACTGCAGTCCTGCAGACCTTTCTGATATCTTCTGTCCTGCTTTGAGTTCATGGAAGCAAGTCCTTCCACAAATCACAAGACTTTTGTGGTTTTTAAAAGCCCTTTCTTGAAGATTGAGCAGAGCTAGGAATGAGGCTGGGTGTTTCTCCATCATGCTTGGGCAATCTGAAAACCTCCACTGCCCAGATTCCACTTCTTTCTATATTTGTATAAAATAGTGATATAGTTTGAGCAGGTTCCTTTCAACAACAGTATTTCTTGTTTTCCTTATTAATTTTCTAGCTTTACCAGAACATTGTCTTTTGGGTGGTGGTTCTAGTGCAGCAGTTGTGTTACTCCTTTAAAAATGCACCTTAAATCAGTGATGATGGGTTACTGCTGTGTGTCAGTGATTTCAGCTCAGGCCCTTTTAAACTGCCCTCTTGCAGAAAACTGGGATCTTTTTTGCCTGTAAAGAGTCTCCTAGTGTGAAGTTTCCCTTTCTGCACGAGTGTCACCTTCAACAAATAATCAGTGCTTTGAACAAGACAGCTTTTATTCAAGGAGATGGCTTGATAGAACCACACGTATTTGCCAGCTCTGTGTTACTTGGAAGAAAAGCGGGAGAGATGATGTGGTGCAGCCAAATGCAGTTGTGCGTTTGGCTGTCCCTCCTAGTGTCGGTCAGAAGTTGCCACAGGGTCTTCTGGGTCTCATCCGGTCATAGATAAGTGTCCCTGGTATTGCATTTGGCTTTTGAGTCTATAAATTCCATGTTAGAAGTACTGATGCCTTTCTCCAGGAGAGGATTGGAGGATTGGCCGTATGAAATACCAAGGCTTTTTTGGCTTGCAGTAGTTCTTTCTTCCGTGCTGTATAGGGGTTTATTCATTTAGGGAGGCAAAGGCTGGAATATTGTCCATTCCCACAGAGCTGGATGGGGAGAGGGAGCTTCAGGACGTAGGAGCAGCCTGACACTGATGTCCCCAAAGCCCTGCTTAATGTGGCAATTGGCCCCGTTGCCATGTAACAGGGGGTTCCCACTGGTTGCTCCTGCAGCCACTTCCCTTGTGCTGTCCATACCATAGAGTCTCCTGGAGAGTTGCTTCAGGGGACTGGTCAGGCTCAAATTGCCTGTGTCCTAGCCCCCAGCAAGGCTAGAACCGGTGTGAGGAGACAGGAGTGTCCTCAGCCACGTGGGCATCTGCATCTTCACACAGTTTAATTTTTAGCTGGTGCAGCTCTCACTGTAGTTCGTGGCTCAGTGTCCTGGGAGCTGTGGGGGACGCTGGGGCACAGTCACACTCCCCTGGGACCTCACCATGCGAGAGACACATGGTGATGTATGAGCAGGCTCCCTGTGCTACTTGCTGTAGGAGATGAAGGGCAGTTCTGCTGAGCAGAAGGCTTTTCTCCCCTGTTAATTTCATGCTGACTGGCAGGAAGAAGACTTGATACCTAAAAGTTGATTTTTCTCCTGAAAGTGTTAATATAAATGTCAGCCTAAAGCAGTCAGTTGAGATGTGCTGGTGTGGGGACAGCCAGGCCATCGATGTGTAAGTGCTGCAGTGTGAACGACCCAGTCGGGCTTCTCAAATCCCTCTTATTTTTATGTTGGTTTTTGAAGTGACTTTTAATCCTTCAGACATATTGGTCCCTAGGCCCTTTTTTCAAAGAGGAAAAAGAACCCAGCTCGAGCAGTTTTGGTAATAATAGTACTTAGTGCTTAAGAAATGCTGTGGAATTAATCTTCCTGGGCCAGTAAATTGAAATGAAGTTGTATTGATCTTGGTTGAGGAGCAGGAAGGTGACGTGAAATCAGCTTTCCTCTGGGCATAACGCAGCGGCGCCCTCTCTGCAGCTCCTTCATGGCCAGTGAAGGTGGAATTGGTGAACCTGTGAAGTCTGGGTTCAAGCTGAGCCCTGCATTGTGGTTCGTTGCCTCTGCCCTCCCTGCTGAATCAGATGTTGTCCTCCAGGCTGGTCAGACCTACCAAGAAGCAGTGGGAATTAGGTCTCTGTGGTTCTGGGGAAAAGTCTGTTGTGGGATGATGGCTTAGGGATGGGGGGAGATGCTTCTGGTTCCCTGTCCTGCTCCTTCCCACATCCTATCCCCCCGGGCTCAGCGAGGTGTTCCACGTCACTGGGCTAGACCTGTTGGTCTGCCTTCCTGTCACATGGAGAAGTCTTCTGGCCACCCTCTGTTGATTCAAACAGGACAGAGCAATAGAAATAAATAGCCGGTGAGGAGAAGGTGTTCCAAGTTGTCTGAAGTCCTTTGGGCAGCCATGGCCTTTGCTCCCCTGTGCTCCCAGAAGGAAATGGAGAATACTGTGGGTGGCACTGGGTACCTTGGGCCACCTTGGGCCAATGGGAAAGAGCAGCGTTGAGGCTGTGATGCTGTATGATTTGGTGTACCGATTGGCATGTTTTGTGTTTGAGTTATTGCAGGTTCCAATCAATAGTTTGATTATTGTTTTGTTGGTTTCCAGGTTACAAACTGGTTGGGAGCCATTCTGGGGTGAAGCTCTGCTGACGGACAAAGGTAAATGCTCTCTTTCCTTCTCTCATTTTCTAAATTGAAATTAAAAAAGTAGACACTTACTCAGGTAGTAACATTTCCAAATGAAGTATTGTTTAAAAAAGCAGTATTACATTAATGAAACCAAATTTCATCTTCCAAGCTGTAGTTTTACATTTCAAGCTATTAAAATCCTGCTGTGAAGAGTGAGCTTGTGACCGTGGCCAAGAGCTGGGAATCGAATTTTCTGTTGTTTTTTCCTGTGATTCTGCTGTCTGCTAAAATAACTCCTGCCTCCTGAGGTACACAGCAGAGGGAGAACACCCCACAGAGAAGTGGGAAGGTTTCATCAGCGCTGTGAGGTCCCTGAAACAAAGATACTGCAGTCTGTCATTCCAGTGGAATGGGCACACGAGGGCATTTGAACGTGTTGTTGTGGGACTGTGAGCACAGTCTAGTGGGGATCGGATGGAGCAGCCCTGAGAAGAAGGATTTGGGGTTTTGGGTGACGAGAATCTCCCCGTGACCTGGCTTGAGTGTGCGCTTGAGCCCAGAACCCCCCTGTGTGCTGGGCTGCATCCCCCCCCAGGGCGTGAGGAGCAGGTCAAGGGAGATCTCAGGCACAAGTTCTTCCCTGTGAGGCTGGTAAGGCCTTCAGCATTGGTGTTCAATAAACTGTGGCAATCAGTACCTCGTGAAGATGCCGGCACATCCCTAATTTTTGTGGTGTGGCAGGGATGAGTTCCTTGTCTCTTGGCTTTGCTGCATGATTAACTTTGAACAGTTCTGTGAAGGGCAATCCCCAAAGAGAGTGGCTGCAGCGAGGCTTTCCTAGTGAAATGCCTGGCGTCAAGGAACTGGTTCATCATGAGCAGTTTCGCGAGCCCACTGCTGTGTTGTTCTGAATATTTGTGGGACGTCCTGAGCCCACTGATGCTTCTGCTGGTTACTTGAACAAATACTTCTCTCTTCTATCGTTTTTAGCATCAGAGAAGGCCGTGAGATGTCTAAAGAAAATCTTGTCACATTTCATCAGTGCTGTGAATAGAGAGAAAAGCAGAGAACCCATTTTTATTAAAGAACAGGAATTTGATGCAGCACTGTAAAGCAATTTCATGAAGTAAATAGGAGCTGTGTGTGCATAGATAGGAGCCTACTATTTTTAGCTAAAGCAGGAATTGAATGTAAAGTGCTGTAGACACTGACATTGGTTACAGGCAGTGGCTTTGACTCAGATTCACACCAATATGTGAGTATCTTCAGGAGATTTGTTTGAGGCTTGTATCGGGTGCAAGCAGGACCAGGGCTGGAAGCATTAGTTTTGAGTTTCATAGTGATAGCTCAGATTAAAAAGATTGTGTTCTGTCATATTCTGGGAAGCAGCCTAAAAGCTGCAAATTTTAGGAAAAGTGTTGATTTGCCTGTCTTACGAAATCCAGAATATCATAGAATCCTAGAGTGGTTTGGGTTGGAAGGGACCTTAAGGCTCACCCAGCTGCAGCCCCCTGCTATGGGCAGGGACACCTTCCAGTAGAGCAGGTTGCTCCGAGCCCTGTCCAACCTGCCCTTGGTCTCCTCGAATTTGTGAATCTCCTGAAGTCTCTGTTGTTTGAGGAATGGGTGGAATAACCAGCATTTCCCATGTTAATTTTCCAGCTGTATAGCAAGGCTGTGCATATGTTGGGGGTCACCTGCGTGTTCTTTCCCCACTGCTCAGTGGAAACTTCCTTTTGGATGGCCAGGACGCCTCAGGTGGAGGAGGAAGGTAGATTGAAAGGTACCATTGTCACATGGTGGCAGGGGGTTGGAACTGGATGAGCTTTAGGGTCCCTTTCAACCCAAAGCAGTCTGTGATTGCATGATCTGTGTGCTGTGGATTTCTTACATCAGATGTGCCTGGGGAGCAGATTTAAACCTCTGCACTCAGCTTAATGTTCTTGGAATTTGTTTGTGTCTTTCTCTGCTGTTAGTTGATGCTCCGAGGCTCAGGAGGCTGCTACAAGCACACAGTTTATGGAATTGAGAGCCATCGCTGCATGGAGGCCCCAGCGAGCCTGGCCTGTGCCAACAGATGTGTCTTTTGCTGGAGGTCAGCTCTGATGCAGTTCTACTGTGGGACAGGGGCTCTGTTCCACTCTGTCCCTGTGCTGTTCCTGAAGCCTGGGGCAGTGTTACTTGTGTGCCCCTTTAATTTGCAAGTCGGTGGAGGATGGGTTTGAAAGGGAGCAGGTGGCTCCCCCTTCCTGCCTGGACTCCTCCTCTTCCAAGAGCTGCTGGAGCCCATGGGTGTGGGATGGTCGGATGTGAGCTGGGTGGGTGGGCTCCACATCTGGGAGACTGAGGAGGTGCCACCTTCCCTAGAGCTGAGTCCTGTGTCAGACTGGCTGGGAAGCAGTGGAAGGAGGAACTGGGGAGGCAGGAGATACACACCTCTCCGTGTACTGCTCTGCAATTCCCCCTTGGTAGAGGTTTGGTTCCCCCTGGAGATCACTGTCTGAAATTGCATGTGGCTCCTGGTGCACTAGGGAACGTGGGCTGGCCCATCTTGTGCAAAGCCACCGAGGTGCAAAGCAAAATGAGTATCTTTGGTTTGAAACTGGACCGTTTTTCTTACTCCAGGTACCTTCATCACCACCAATTCAGTTGCAATCTCAGTGAGTGAAAAGTGAGGTGATCACTTGGAGGTGATTTGGCCCTTGCCACGGAGCTTTGTAGCTCGAGAGATTTGCACGTGTTGGATCTGTGCAAAAGTAAGGAACTTCTTCCTTCTGTCCAATCTCAACTTCCCCTGTTTAAGTTTTAAGCCGTTATCCCTTGTCCTGTCACTGCAGTCCCTAGTGAAGAGTCCCCCTCCAGCATCCTTGGAGGCCCCCTAGAGACTGGAGGCCCCCTTGTAGACTGGAAAGACAGCTCAATCTAGACTTGTTTCCAGGGAATGAAATGGCTTTGTTAACCTTTGTATTTCTAAACTGCAGGCATGAGTAATAGTGATGGTAATACCCTAATTTTCTGTTGCTGGGCTGGGAAGCAATCAAATGGGCATATTCTCTGGACACAGTTTTGAGGTTAATGTTCTTGGTTTCCCAAAGGAAAATGTAATGATGCTGAGAGTCACATTTGCAATGTAAAGAAAAAGGTATGTGTGTGTGAGAGAGACAGAGAGCAAGACTGAGATGGGGTTTACAGGAAACAATACATGGTCAAGAAGTTTGTTTCCTTCTGTGTGCATTTGCCAGGGGGGATGTTTCCTTTGGCACTCTCCCCTGAAAGGGAGTTCAATGGCCCTGGGAGTGCCCATCACCTCCTTTGTGAGCATGTGAGGGCTGTGGAAGACCAAACAATGCTGACACTGGATGAAGAAACTTGTGGTGAAGTCCTATTTGAAATGAGGCCGTGAGTGTTAAGATACAAGGTGCTTAAGGTATAAGGCTTACAGAAAAAGGGTTGTCTGCAATTTTGAGTTGCAGGCAGAAACTTGTTGGAGTCCCCAAGAATTGTTAGCTGTATTTTAAGCTACCTGCATGAGGCTGGGGTACTTAACGGTCAGATTTAAAATCAACTAAAATTGATGCAGGGGTTTAGAGCTCTCCAAAAACTTCCTGGAACTTTTAAGGTGTGAAAGATTCCTGTAGGAGCACTGTGCTTTCATCTGCAGCAGCTCATTTGGCTGGGCTGGGCTGGGCTTTGACCTCTGCTTCTGTGGCTCAGAAAAAAAACTTCCTTAAATGTGGATTTGTCAGAGGGACACTTGTCCCTTTCCTTCAAATCTTTCTTCTCTAAATCTTGTCCATTGAAAAGGGTTATAATTCATAAATAACATTACAAGAGCTCCTGAGGCTTGCCTTTTCTGGGTAGGACGTGGGAGTCCCTGCTAAATAAGGGCGGAAGAAAGCAAAGTCCCTTTAAAGGTAAGCTCAGGCTGGAGCTTGTGTTTGGCTGCACTGGTGTTCTGTGGGACAAGCCCCGCAGGCGGGGCCTGCAGCTGCAGCAGCTCTCCAGGTTCTTGCTTGCAGTGGTCAGTGCAGTTTGTAGGTGGCTCTCAAGTGCCAGCACATGCTCACCTTGTCCAGTGTCCCCCTGCTCTGTGTGAAGAGCAGCTTTGGAGAGTGGGAGCTGCTTTTTCTTTCCTGTTACAAGGTGAGCCACAGTTTTGCTTCCTTTGCTGATACTGGTGTTGCCAAAGCAGGCCCAGTCTTCACCTGTCCTTGTTTGTGTGTCAGAGGTGCTCTTCTGACGTCCCTCTCTTGCTGTTGGGTTGCAGAGGCTTGGCATGAGATGGGGACTGCATTTTGGTAGGTGCTGTGGATGTGCTGATGAGATGCAATCTTTCCAAAAAGCTCTCTCAACAGAAGAGAGTGGCACTGAGAGAACAGAAGTAGCATTCTCTCAGCTCTACAGAAAGAGCTGGATGCTATAACATGTCATGAAACTGTTTCTGTGTTGCATGGAGTGCTAACATGTGTTCCCAACCATCTGGATTTTTTTCAATGTAATTGTGAAAACCATTTTCTTGTAATAATGCAGTGAAGCTTTTGCCCAAGGAAATGATGTTCCTCTTTGCCACTGGCAGAGCCTTTGCCAGTGCCTGGTGGCAGCGTGGGGCTGGATCTGTGCTCCCTGTGTAGGGCTCAGTTGGGCTGGTCCCTGTGAGCCATCAGCAGTGGCCAAACAAGGATGGGTTGGTAGGTTTTAAAGGAAGAGAACTGTTATGTCTCACCTGCTGTGAACAAACATGCAGGAGAAGCCTAGGTGTGAAGCACAAGGCTTTGCTGGCAAAGCAGTTGGTGTGGTTGTGTGCATGGAACTGGGCTGTGTCCCCCTTCAGAGGGTGAAGTGCCGAATTCCTCCATCCTTTCTGGCCTGTGCTTTTGGCAAGTGGGGCTTTGGGTCGCTGCTTAAATCCCATTTACCTGGATTTTAGTTGTGATTACCCTAGCAGGGAAGAAAGCAGTAAAAGTGTGACTGTATGGCCCAATGTTCAACTGTGAGGGAGTGCCTTTTGGGCGGAGACAGTGTTCCTTGCTGCCAGGCAGGCTTTCTGTGTGACAGCCTTGCCAAGGTTTTCCCTCAGCGCTGGTTCTGTTAGTCCTGGCTCCAGCCCTTGCTTATTGTGTTCTTAATGTGTGTGCCTTTCATTGCCTAAAAGGTCCTGGAACTTTTTGCTGGATGGGGCCACGAGAAGGCGAGGGTTTCCCTCCTGTTTGGTGTTCCTGCAGGCCGTTACCCAAGGCCCCTCTCCAGGTTTCCTGTAGCCCCTTTAGGCACTGGAGCTGCTCTAAGGTCTCCCCTTGAGGAGCCTTCTCTTGTGCAGGTGGAACCAGCCCAGCTCTCTCAGCCTGGCTCCAGAGCAGAGCCGCTCCAGCCCTCGCATCATCTCCATTTCCTCCTCTGGACTCGCTCCAGCAGCTCCACGTCCCTCTTGTGCTGTTGCCCCAGAGCTGGATCAGGACTGCAGGGGGGTCTCCCCAGAACACAGCAGAGGGG